CGAGGCGCAAATGCAGGAACAAAAACCCTAACCTGGACGACCTCACGGACCAACAGAAACGTCCGACCCCCCCCAATGGGCGGGGGTGACATGCATAAGGTATTCGATAATGTACCCCTTGTTGAACGCAACCACCTGGCTTTCGCGCCGAAGGTAGCTGGCAACCGCCAAAGACCACCGAAGACCGCCGAAAAGGGTCAGAAGACCACCAAAGACCGCCGAAGACCGCCTTCCGTAGCCATTTTCACTCCAGCGGTTGTGGCGTTCCGGCTTCGGCTCCCTGGGGCCCCCAGCGAGGCGCTCTGCCGCACGAGCTCGGAGTTCGGCTCCGCCCTGCCCCAGCGGCCTCATGGCGGCCCCCGCCGACGCCGCGCGGGACGGCGCACCGCCGCCCCGGCGCGCGCCGTCGCCGCGCCGCTCGCCTGCAGGCGCGCCGCCGGCCACGCCTCCCCGCTCGCCGAGGACGCCGTCCTCGCCCCCGCCCGCTCCACGGAGGAATCAGGAGGGAAAGACACACACAGACACAATTAATCGGCGATCCCTAAGAAAATATTGGAAAATGTGGGAAGTGGGGGGGAAGACAAAATCCCAGAAAATATGGGAAAACATGCGGAGCCTTTTTGTTTGTGTGTATTTATTTGCGTGTCCCAGTTCCCCTTGAAGGAAGGCCGTCGCCGCCGACTTCCTGCCGAAGGCTCTGCCCCGCAGCTCGGAGCGGGCGGCGCGCGCCGCCCAGGGCGCGGGCGCCGCCGCGGCGCGCGGCCTCGGCCGCGCCGGCGTGCCCAGGCCGCTCGAGTGGCCGGCAGGCGCTGGCGGCAGGGACCGCTTCGCGCGCGCCGTCGCAGAGGCCCTCCTGCGGGCCCCAGACGGGGGAGCAAAAAGTGTCACAGACTTGGAGGCCTGGAAATTGGCACCAAGACCATCACAGGGGACTGCCTCCGCAGGGGGAAGATGACCCTCGATTTCGGTGCTCGTGGTGATGGTTCGGTTGCCTTGGGAGCCAGAATATTGCCACCATCGCCGAGGTCGGGATCTTCTTCCCTCGGTGGAGGCGCACCGCCGATGTTGGTGTTGGTGGCAACCTCTAGGCCTGCGATAAACATAAAAACTCGGAGGTCCGCGCGGATTTCTCGGATCGGCGCTGGGGACCCCCTCCCTGGCGCGGGGAGCGCGCCAGGGGCGGCGCCGGAGGCGCCGCCGGGGGGCCCCAGCGCCGATCCGAGAAATCCGCGCGGACCTCCGAGTTTTGATGTTTATGTCACTTTTTGTTCCCCTACCAGAGTTCCCGTCGGCCCAGGATCGGCACGAACGAAGTGGGTAGGGAAAGAATGGGTACAATGCCCAACAGCAGTTCCTGCCCATTGTGAACAGGACTCGCTGTCCGCGCCGCCGCGGCCTGTGTCCCTTCGAGACAGAAGTCCGCCTGCCCAACAGCGGCCGCTGTTGGTTTGGGACAAGATTTGTTGTTGGGCATTGTACCCATTTTTTCCGTACGGCAGGTTCGCGTCGTGCCGACCGGCGGCGATCCCAGCGCGTGCGTTTAAGGTTGAACGCCGCGCGTGGCCCAGAATCGGCCCATCTTTGAACGATCCCGCCTCTTTGAAAGGGCCGGGTTTGAACGATCCCCGCAGTGCCAGGAACCGACGTCGCGGTCGACACGACACGAACATGCCGTGCCCACTTCTGCGGAAACCCAAAGGTACCGATACCGCCACTCCCCGGACCTCTCCCAGGGTGCGTTCTGACCAGAATTTCGAGGCGAATCCGGCGGCGGCGACGAGGGCCTCCGACGAGGCCCAAAAAGGGGAAACCGAGGAAAGGCTACTCCAGATTTCGTAATAAAAGGGAGGGGGTCTGGACCCTCCAAGACAAGCCATTTCAGACTTCCCCCGTGGGAGAACCCTCCAAAACATCGTCCCCAGACCCCCCAGGCCCTCCAAGATAACCTGGAAGAGACCCCCCCGAAATGAGACCCCCCTCCCTTTATTACGAAATCTGGAGTAGAGGGATGATGGGCACCCTCTCCTCCTGAATTTCGGGCGTCCGAACAGGAGCTGACTGGCCCGCGCCCGTGCCCGACCTCTGCCCCGGCCGAGCCGACGGGCGGAGCCGCGCCCAGCGGCCCTGGGCTCCGCCGGATCGGCGCGCGGGCTCCAGGGGCCGTCGTGACTTAGAGCAGTCGGGTGCCCCCTCCTCCCCCTCCCCGCTTCTTAGAGCAGTCCTCCCCCCTTTCTCCCTTCCTCCTCCTCTCCTCCTCCTCTTTCCCCCTTTCCTCCTCCCTCTGCCCTTCACCCTCCTCCTTCCTCCCTCTCCTCCTCCTCTTCCCCTTCCTCCTCCCCCTCCTCCTTCCCTCCTCCTTCCTCCTCCTCCTCCTCCTCCCCTCCTCCTCCTCCTCTCTGTCTGATATTATCCTCCTCCTCCTCCCTGTCCTCGATATGATCCTCCTCCTCCTCCTCCTCCTCCTCCTCCTCCTCCTCCTCCTCCTCGCTGTCCTCGATATTCTCATCCACCTCCTCCTCCTCCTCCTCCTCCTCCTCCTGGAGTTGGCGGAACCGGATCCAGGCCTACAATCGGATATGAATTTAGGAGCCAGAGCCAGACTGGAACCGAACCCGACCAGAATGGGGTCCGATCCTGAAGCCAGGGAGCCGCCTGTACCCTTAAACAGTTTGAATGCAGCTTTGTGCCCAATCTCACCATGCTCTTGCATTGATGGATGTTTAGATGGATTGGTCATCCGCCCGCCGTCTAGGCGACATGTGCTGCGGGCATTGGTCGCGCCCCTCGTCCGCGCAGGTCTTGCTGAGCGCCCCTCAGTACATTTTCATTTGCAAAGGGATAGCTGCTGTTGCTCTCGGGCAGTGCAGCCCACATCCAGCGCTCCTGGATGAACAGTGTTTCAATTGCCTGCGCTTCCATGACTCGTGTCGCCGAGCGCGTCATCCTGCTACCGCGGGGACCTCGGTGGCTGCGGAGCCGAATCCGAGCAAGCGAAGAGGCGAGACGGACCAAGAGATGCGCCACGCGGATGAGAAGGGGGGGCGGAGGTTCTTTTGGGGGGGGGCGGGGGATGTGAGCAGAGTCCACATTAAGCCCCGTTCCGGCTCGCCGTCGACGCTGTACTGAGTATTTTTCTTGCCAGGACAGCCTCGCAGGCGGGCAGCCTGCCGCCTGACATCATCACACATCGTCACCACTCGGCGGAGCAGCGCGCCCTGACAGCGAGGACGCGGGCTGGACGTGGAGCCCGCCAGACTCGCGAGGGAGTCCATCGTGGCAGTCTGGTCACCGCCTCCGGGCTCGCGGCATAGCTACGGGCATCGGGAAGGCCTCACGGACGGTGCCGCCGACTCTGAAGCTGGACGACGACCACGACGGCGGCGTCGTTGGCGGCGACGACGCTGACGTGGGGCAGTGGGGCCTCCTCGGAGCGAGCTCGTAGGCCTCTGGCGGGCAGTTTTGGGGCCTCTTGGGAGCATCGTGGGGGCATGTTGGTAGCCTCTTGGGGGTCCCTTCGGGCTTGACAAAAATACTTTCCCCGGTAAAATCGGACTTTCCCCGGGAAAATCGAACATTCCCCGGTACAACCCTTCCCCGGTTTGATTCCCCGGTAGAATCTGTGAGAGGCTTCTGAGAGGCTTCTGAGAGGCTTCTGAGAGGCCTCTGAGAGGCTTCTGAGAGGCTTCTGAGAGGCTTCTGAGAGGCTTCTGCGAGGCTTCTGAGAGGCTTCTGCGAGGCTTCTGAGAGGCTTCTGAGAGGCTTCTGAGAGGCTTCTGCGAGGCTTCTGAGAGGCTTCTGCGAGGCTTCTGAGAGGCTTCTGAGAGGCTTCTGAGAGGCTTCTGAGAGGGCCCCTCGCCCTCGTCGCCGTCGCCGTCGTCGTTTCCCCCTTAGTCGTCGTTCCCGCCGATTTGCGTTTCGGTTTTCAGTTTTTCGTTGCTTTCGGCCCCTGGAGGCCATGTTCGGGTCGCGGGGCCTTAAAAACGTCTCCAGGGTGCAAAACCGCGTCGGAAGGCCCGCCCGCCGGTTCGGTTCAGCCAGGAGGAAAAAACAACGAGGAGGAGGAGGAGGAGGAGAAGGAGGAGGAGGAGGAGGAGGAGAAGGAGGGGGAGGCGGAGGAGGGGGAGGCGGAGGAGGCGGCGATTACTACTACTACTACTACTACTAGTACGACTAGTACTACTACTTTTACTACTACTACTACTACTACTACTACTACTACTACTACTACTACTACTACTACTACTACTACTACTACTACCACTACTACTGCTACTGCTACTACTACTACTACCACTACCACTACCACTACCACTACCACTACCACTACCACTACCACTACCACTACCACTACTACTATTATTGCTACTACTACTACTACTACCACTACTACTACTACTACCACTACTACTACTACTACTACTACTACTACTACTACTACTACTACTACTACTTCTACTACTTCTACTACTTCTATTACTTCTACTACTTCTACTACTTCTACTCCTATCCTTATTCCTTCTTAGAATATACTCCTACTCCCCCCTCAGGCCGGCCATTAGGGGCCGCATCCGGGGGGTCCCATCCTAACCTGTAAAAAACAATATAAAATCAATATGTTTCTTATTTTTTCCTCTCGACATGGACGTCCTGTCGTCCACGGCGATAATCCATTGCAAAAAATACCACAAAAAAATTGTACAAATTTCCCGCCCGGGCTCTCTTGCTGAAATCATAGGAAAATCTTTAGGAATCAGAGTTCTGTCGTAAATCCATCCAGCGATTTCACGTCATCGCGCGGTGCACTCGCGATGCTCTGTCATGCACCCAGGCCGCGAATCCTGTGCAAAAAATGCCACAAAGAGCACACTCGCGCGTTCATGTCAGAATCCTACCGAACACCGTGTGTTTGCAAGCATTTCAACATAAAAACATCAAAAACCCAATGCTTTTTCAAAAAAATGCTGTGGGGTGTCCTGTCAGACCGTCGGGCTTCCTCCGGCCACCTCTGGCTTCCTGCGGTGTACCAGGCCATTCTCGATTCGTCTGGCAATGCGTGCGCGGCATTCATCACGCGCTCGCCAGTTCCCGTCGGCAACCGCCATCGCGGCCGCATCAGCTGTACCAAACCGGCTGGCCGGTGTGACTTCGGCCCCCAATTGTGCCAGCTTTGCTTCTTATGTTGTGGGAGGGCGGGTGGGACTGGGCATGCCATGCTTGACTCGCTCGAGCTGGCTAGCTTGACTCCTACTCCTACTCCTGCTCATACTCATCTTCCTCCTCCTCCTACGACTACGACTGCTACTACTACCACTACTACTACTTTTATTAAAACTACTACTACTACTACTACTACTACTTCTACTACTACTAGTGCTACTACTACTACTAATACGACGACGACTACTACTACTACCACTTACTTACTACTACTACTACTACTACTACTACGTACATTACTGCTACTACTAAACTAGTAATACTACTAATACTATACTACAACCTACAAACTACTACTACTTACTACTACTACTACTACTACTACTACTACTTACGAAGACGACGACTACTACTACTACTCGATATCACACACTGACTACTACTACGGACTTACTACTACTACTACTACTACCACTACTATACTCCGAGGACTAGTGGTAGTACCGATTACTACGATTACTACTACTACTACTACTACTACTACTACTACTACTACTACTACTACTACTACTACTACTACTCCTACTACTTCTACTACTACTACTACTACTACTACTACTACTACTACTACTACTACTACTACTACTACTACTACTACTACTACTACTACGACTACTACTACTACTACTACTACTACTACTACTACTACTACTACTACTACTACTACTACTACTGCTAATAATACATATACTACTACTACGACCACGAACGACGACGACGACGACGACGACGACGACGACGACGACGACGACGACGACGACTACTACTACTACTACTACTACTACTACTGCTACCACTACTACTACCACTACCACTACCACTACCACGTCCACTACCACAACCATTACCACCATCATTTCCACCACCATTACCAATACCAGTACTACAACGCGCGAGCACACCGAGATCAGACATTCCCCGGTATGTTTTTTTCGGAAACCGAATGGTCACACGTAAGCCAACCAGTTGGCTTTCGAAGACTCTGAAGCCCGACCCCGCTCGAAACATTCGCAAAAGAAGCGCCGCAGGAATCGTACATTCCCCGGTGCTACCGGGGAATGTCCTGTTTTCCCGGGGAATGTCAGATTTTCCCCGGCTAAGTACCGATCGCCTTCGGGCTTCCTGGGGGCCTCTTGGGGGCCTCTTGGGACCTCGTGGGGGCCTCTTTGGGGTCTCTTGGGGCCTCCTAGGAGCTTCTCGGGGCAGAGGGCTCGAAATGTTCGTTCGGGTTCCCGTTTGGGCACCCTCTTGGAGCCGTTTTGGAGGTTTAACCTCTGGGGTCCTTTTGTGCCGATCTTGGAGGCATCTTGGGCCGTCTTGAGGCGTCGGGAAGCCGAAAGGGTGAGAACGCCAGAATCATTCAAACCCTTAAGAATATCATCGATGTGTGCATGTTGGGCTGCTGTGCTCTTGGAGACCTCTTCGAGCGTCTTCGAAGCCGATTGGGCTCTCAGGCGGCCATCCTTGGCGTCGTGGACCGTTCGGGGCCCTCTTGGACCGTCTTGGGGGCCTCTTTGGGTGTCCAGGAGCTCTTTAAAACTCTAGGGCACTCCCCTGGGAATCCCCGCAGGATCCCCTCGGGACCCCCCCAGACAAACCCCGAGGATCCCCCCCGAGACCCTCCCCCCCAGGGACCCCCCCTCCGCCCCCATCTCCCGGAGGGAAGGGATGAAAGGCAAGAGGCTTCCCGTCAATTTAACCTCGACGTTCAATTTCGCTTTGGTTTCGCTTCGGCTGGCTCGCCTGAGGAGGAAGGCCCAGTGAAAGGGGGGTGGGGCGGCGACGGGCCTGGGGAAAAGGGGGTCAAACGCGACGGCGACGACGGCGACAAGGACGACGACGATTACGATGACTACTACGACGACGACGACGTCGAGTCAAACAGAACAGCGTCTTCTACACGCCGACAGGATCGGCGGATCTTTTCATCGCCCCTTTCAACTATCATGGGCATGTATGTGTGCACAGGTCCTAACCGAGCGCCGAGCATGGCGCAGCACAGGATGATGCGACGGGGGAGTGGCTTGAGGTGAGGTGGAGGGGTGTCGGAAAACCATGCCGCTGTGCGCTCCTCTATGCCCTCGCAGGCTTCTCCAATTTCCAGCCTTTGTATGCCCTTTCTTGCTCCTGCAGTGCACGCACTGCTTGTTTCATAAGTTTGTGCTCACGCACGTTTTTTTTCAGGCACATGCGTGCAGACGCAACGGCCAGTGGTGGCACCAGAAAAACAAGAAAGGGGCACGGAGTGGGGCGGTGCGGGGGTCCCCCCTGCGAGCCTGGGCTGAGGAGGAGAGGGAGGAGGGAAAGAGAGAAAGATGGAGGGGGAGGAGAAGGGAGAGGGAGGAGGGAGGAGGGAGGGAGAGGGAGGAAGAAGGGGGGGGGGGAAGCGAGAACGCGACAGCAAAGAAGGGCTGGGAAAAGATGGCGCGTGCTCTTGCCGTGGGCTTCGGTTCGGTCTTTCTCCAGGCCGCCCCGCATGCCAGGGGCCCTACCGCGCAGAGAGAGCACGTCGGCCGCAGGCCCGTACTCGTGCTGCGTCGCGCAGGAGGCTCTGCAGCGCCCGCTCTGGGGCGGGATTGTGGGTTTTTGTTTTTCTTCATTGTCTTGCCGATCGGCGTCGGCCCTCGCACCCCCCTCCTCCCCCCCCCATGGAGTAGATCTTGGCCGTTTTGGGCGCCTGTTTCGAGCAGGTGGGGTCCCTCCCCCATCGGCCGCGCTGCTGCAAACTGTCGCACTAAGCAGAGGTCTGGAGCCAGACCCCCCCCCCCTCCCACCCCCCCCTTCCGCCCAATGTCGAAACGCCGAAAGAAAACGCTCACATTCCTGCCTTGTACAGACTGGGTTGCCACTTTGATGACCGTGGCTGTTGTGTTGCATTTGGTGGAAGTCTGATGCCATCATGTGCTATGCTGCTCGCGGGCACTTCTGGGACGGGTCCCCTCGTGGTGGCCTGCTGCTCCTGCTTCAGCTTCACCCTTGGAGCGCAGCATGCCGTTCTGTCTGTGCTGGGCCTTTTTGTACAGCTGTTTCAAACCACGAGCGTTCGATACGCAAGACACGCATGAGCATAGTATTATGGGGGACATGGGGGGGTTACTAGCGTGAGGGGGCGCGGGGAGATCTGGACCAGATCTGAATCTGCGGGTTGTATTGCGGATGGCCTTTGCGTTGGTCTCCGCGCTGCCAAGGCGTTCGGCGCAGCAGTGGCCTCGAATTGTAGCTGCTGCGCCAGCTCACTCTGGCAAAATAGCATTCGCACGCTAAGTACAATGGTTGTTACACGGTGCAATGGGATGGCTGATAATGTGCCTCATCATCCCTTGATTCCTCTGGGAACGCCGATCCTGATGTTGTTGCGAGTGTAAAATAACGTCGACGACCGTCAGGGGAACACAGAAAACCTAAGGCCGTCAGAAGACCGCCGAAAACTGACCAAGGCCGACAGGCAACTAGGGGCCACTGACGAACACGCAGCACCGATACGACGCGCGCTCCGATTTCGATTCTCCGATTTCCGCCGTGCGGACAATCCAGCCGTGGCGACGATAGGCTTCTTGGAAGCTCCCGAAAACGCCCCGAAAACCCGAACCGTCATTCCTTTTCCTTCTAGATAACTCCTCCCTGTCGCGCCCCGAGGCCGGTCGAAAGGGCAGGCCGGGCATTTCGCTTGAGACTTCCTTGAAGCTGAACAATTGACAACATTGTCACAGATGGAGGGCGGGTCGCTTCCCAAATGTGGCTCTCGCCTTAGCGCCGCTCAGTCGTTCTAAACATTTGCAAGAGCTTCTTGGATCGAGGGCGGTTGGTTTTCAACATGTGGCTCGCCTTAGCGCCGCGCTTCACATATTGAGGGCGGGTGGTTTTCAAAATGTAGCTCTCGCCTCAGCGCCGCGCACATTCGCTGTAAACACTTGCAAGAGTTTTACGTACGGGTTCACATGGTCAACTTACCAGAAATTGCATTTAGGAAGGATTCAGGATTGCGAGGGTGCAACAGTTAAGTTGATTCGCGGTGTTGAAGTTCCAGGAATGGTGCTCTGGCACGATCCAGGATCGTCAAGACGCAACGGTCCGGTTGATCCGCGGCGTTGGAGCTCCGGGAGTGGTGTTTTGGCACGCTTCAGGGACTTCAAACGATTGTCTCCCTCGGTGTAAATGAACCCTTGCAGGGGCCTATGAAGAGGGAGCTTGGAGGGAGGGTTTATTCCAGCATCGTCGATGCGCCCAGGGTTTACACTGGTCCTCCTCCTCCTCCTCCTCCTCCTCCTCCTCGTCCTCCTCCCCCTCCTCCTCCCCCTCCTCCTCCTCCCCCCCTCCTCCTCCTCCTCCTCCTCTCCTCCTCCTCCTCCTCCTCCTCCTCCTCCTCCTCCTCCTCCTCCTCCTCCTCCTCCTCCTCCTCCTCCTCCCCCTCCCGAGGAGGTCTGGGCTCCCGCGGGGGCCCGGCCTCCGACCCGTGCCGGAATCCGATCCGACGCCCCGGTGCCACGCCGGCCCCTGACATCCGCCGGTGCGCCTCTTTCCACGCGCGGCCCCCGATCTGCACGCACGAAATGGGTACGGAAAGAATGGGTACGATGCCCAACAGCGGATCCTGTTCATTCTGAACAGGATTCGCTGTCCGCGCCGCCGCGGCCTGTGTCCATTCGAGACAGGAGGCCGCCCGCCCAACAGCGGCCGCTGTTGGCTCGGGACAACATTTGTTGTTGGGCATGTTGCCCATTCTTTCGGTACCCATTTCGGGTGTCCAAAGAGGTCCCCACCGCTTCCCCGGGGAGAGATTTCTCCGTCCCGGTCGGGAGCCTTGAGTTGGTGGTACCCAAACGTGGTGGTGAGAACACCCGGTGGTGAGTTTCGGGCGATTTGGGCAATGGTTTCCGAGCGCTGGCTGGCCCAGGAAACGCAAAACCTCGTGGCGACCGCGTGTCCCCAAACCCGGTGGTGACCCAGAATTATTTTTTGGGGGAATCGGGGTCACCACCAGGTGTCTCACCACCTGGTTTGGAGACCACCAAGATTTCTTCGTCCCGGTCGGGAGCCTTGAGACGGGGGTCAGTGCAAACGGGGGTCAGTCAGAGCGCCAGATCTTGCAGGATCCTGCAGTCTTGCAGGATCCTGCAGGGACAGGGTCTGTGAGATAGTGCATGCGTGACGTGTGTATACGCACCACTCGCCGCCACTCGCCGCCGTTTGACCTCTAGGGCCCCCTTTTTGCCCTTGTGCTGAAACGCATCATAATCACACAGGTAGCGGAGCTACCACACGATCCCCGTATCGTACCACTGGCGCGCACGTCTCGTCAGAGAGTGTAACTCAACCTCTCTTTACTTTCCGTACTGGCAGTTTCCTTCGCTAGGGGATTGAGCCTTGCGCCATGGCACTTTCTTCTCTTCGCCATCGGCCGAGCGCCGACGCGCTAGCGCGGTCCGAGACGAAGAGTGGCTCCTACATCTACGACGGCACGGTGAACATCTTCCACGGGCAGGAATTCCGCACAGAGATGCGCATGAGCGCCGCCTTGGCCTCAGTGGATCAAGAGACGGGTGCACCACAGCAACACGTGATCACCGCAGCTGTCAACAAGGTTGCAAAAGGCCTCAGAGGTGACGCGTTCGATATTGCCATGGATATCGGTAAGGACGTGCTTCTGATTCCGAACGGCTTCGACCAGTTGGCGCTGGCGATTCGTATTTCACTCTTCCCCGTATACAGGCACAGGAAGCGAAGATCCTGTTCCAGGTGGGGCAGAGACCACGTGGACCACCGTCACGACAGCACGGTGAGTCTATTGTCTCGTACATCTCCCGAAGGAAGCGCTGGTGGAAACTTGTTTCCAAGTTAGATCCCCAGGGGGCCGGAAACCCTTAAAAGTTAGTGCTAGCCAGAAATAAGCATCTAGGTCGTTATTTTTAGCACCGACCTTATTTTTAGCACCAGGTGCTTATTTTTAGCTCTTACAGACCCGTGATCTGGATACCTAATTAAGCACCGCATCATGGCGCCTTGATGCGTACCAAATGCCGTGATCATGCATGGCAATATTGATACCCAGACTAGGCTTCTGGATGTCTCTAAATAGTATATGTCGCACATACTTTTGAGGTATCGTTTGCGCGTGGTTCGACCTGCCCCTCGCAATCTGCGAACTACGATGTGAAACTCACGCTTGCGCCAACAAACAAATTGTTACACCACTACGATTGCACCGCATATATTACACCACATGGGTTGCTTAACGTAGAAACCACTTCCTAAACTAGTACCGTTACCATGCAGGCTACACCACATAGTTTGCGCCACGTCGATTACACCACATGCATTGCCAAACGTTCAGTGCACAACATACTGACACGACATATATTGCACCACGTCCATGCCACCACATACATTGTACCGCATATATTACACACTACACATTGCACCACCAATATTGCACCACCCCAGATTGCTCCACATAATATTGTATCACGCATGTTACAGTAGATATGTTGCGCCACGCAGATTGCACTGCATATGTTGCACCAAATATGCTGGACCACATAGCTTACACCACATCGATTGCACCACATAGATCGCCCTACAGATCACACAACATATCGTACCGCAGAGGTTACGCAAAAAAACGCAAACCCTCTAGCTTGAAAACGCAATGCTGGTAGCCCGTGACCTCGCTGCCTATCGCGCGCGCCTATTTAGCGATTGGAATGCAACTGTCGCAACTTTCCTTCGCCCCCAAAAAATTAGGAAGCGGGGGAGAGGGGGGGGAAGAAATGCTGTGCCGTCGCTCCTGGGCAGATGCTGACGAGGGCGCAACCTACGGCGCAACCGCAGCGTCCTTGAGGTTCGCAGTCGCGAACGCCGCACGACGACGACGACGACGACGACGACGACGACGACGACCACGACGACTACGACGACGACCCCGACCACAACCGAGACGACGACGGCGGCAGCGGCGGCGGCGGAGGAGGCGGATGCGGCGACGACGACGACGACGACGACGACGACGACGACGACGACGACGACGACGACGACGACGACGACGACGACGACGACGACGACGACAACGTCGACGACGACGCGCCCTCCTCCTCCCTCCTCCTCCTCCCTTCTCCCCCTCCCTCCTCCTCCCGGGTTGCGCCACCTCCTCATCCTCTCGTCGTCGTCGTCGTCGTCGCCCTCCCTCCTCCCTCCTCCTCCTCCCCCCTCTCTCTTCCTCCCTCCTCTCCTCCCCTCCCTTCCCCCTCCCTCCCTCCTCCTCGTCCTCCTCCCTCCTCCTCCCCTTC